CTGTAACACACACCAGGACCAAGTGTTAAGAGACAGTACACTCACCGATATTTATAACCTATAGGGGGTACATTTAAAACAGGGGGTATGTATTTGACGCTGAGGGTACAGATATCACGGGGTATGTATGTTATGTTGGGGTTTACAAAATCATGGGGTTCGTATTTTATGTTGGGGTACAGTTATCACGGAGGGTGTATGTTGTTGGGGTTCAAATATCATGGGGTTCGTATTTTATGTTGGGGTACAGTTATCACGGAGGGTATGTATGTTGGGGGTTTACAAATATCATGGGGTTCGTATTTTATGTTGGGGTACGAGTTATCACGGAGGGTATGTATGTTATGTTGGGGTTTACAAATATCATGGGGTTCGTATTTTATGTTGGGGACAGTTATCACGGAGGATGTATGTTATGTTGGGGTTACAAAATCATGGGGTCTGTATTTTATGTTGGGGTACAGTTATCACGGAGGGTATGTATGTTATGTTGGTTACAAATATCATGGGGTTCGTATTTTATGTTGGGGTACAATTATCACGGAGGTATGTATGTTATGTTGGGGTTTACAAATATCATGGGGTTCGTATTTTATGTTGGGGTACAGTTATCACGGAGGTATGTATGTTATGTTGGGGTTACAAATATCATGCGTATTTTATGTTGGTACAGATCGAGGTATGTATGTTATGTTGGGGCAAATATCATGGGGTCGTATTTATGTTGGGGGTACAGTTATCACGGAGGGTATGTATGTTATGTTGGGGTTTACAAATATCATGGGGTTCGTATTTTATGTTGGGGTACAGATATCACGGAGGGTATGTATGTTATGTTGGGGTTTACAAATATCATGGGTCGTATTTTATGTTGGGGGTTAGATATCACGGAGGGTATGTATGTTATGTTGGGGTTACAAATATCATGGGTTCGTATTTTATGTTGGGGTACAGTTATCACGGAGGGTATGTATGTTATGTTGGGGTTACAAATATCAGTGGGTTCGTATTTTATGTTGGGGGTACAGTTATCACGGAGGGTATGTATGTTATGTTGGGTTACAAATATCATGGGGTTCGTATTTTATGTTGGGGTACAGATATCACGGAGGGTATGTATGTTATGTTGGGGTTTAAATATCATGGGGTTCGTATTTTATGTTGGGGAGATATCACGGAGGTATGTATTGTTGGGGTTACAAATATCATGGGGTTCGTATTTATGTTGGGGAAGTTATCACGGAGGTATGTATGTTAGTTACAAATATCATCATCAAATATCATTCTTATCAACCTCAATCATGATTAATTTACTCCCACAGGTGAGAAGTTTAATGAGTTTATTCTTCATGTGATAAAGTTATCAATTAGATGAAGAACATTTTCCCAGAAGAACAAATTTTCAGGCTCTGTTCACTGTTCTTTAAGAGGATTACCAGAGTTGTTGAAGGTCGCCTGAATCTTGTAAGATTTCCACCTGTGTGGTGGTGGGTGGTGGTGGTGAGTGTGTGGTGGTGGGAGGTGTGGTGGTGGGTGGGAGTGTGTGGTGGTGGTGAGTGTGTGTGGTGTTGAGGTGGGGGGTGGGTGGGAGTGTGTGTGGTGGTGGGAGGTGTGGGGTGTGAGGTGTGGGTGTGAGTGTGTGTGTGTGGTGTTGAGGGGTGGTGGGAGTGTGTGGGTGGTGGGAGGTGTGGTGATGGTGGTGTGGTGAGTGGTGGTGGTGAGGGGGTGGGTGGTGGGAGTGTGTGGTGGTGGAGGTGGTGGTGGTGGAGTGTGTGGGTGGTGGTGAGTGTGGTGGTGGTGGTGGAGTGTGGTGGGTGGTGGGTGTGTGGTGGTGGTGGGTGGTGGTGGTGAGTGTGTGGTGGTGGTGAGTGTGGTGGTGGTGGTGTGGTGGTGGTGAGGTGTGGTGGTGAGTGTGTTGTGCTTGAGAAAAGTCTCACTGTCTACCACACACGGACGAGTTGTTGTGTTTTTATATAACAACAGTAAGAGTGAAGGCAGGTTCTCTTCACACAAGTCAATGAGAGTTAGGTTAGTGGGAGCCTGGTTAGGTTAGTGGTGATTAGGTTAGGTTAGTGGTGGTTAGGTTAGGTTACTGGTGATTAGGTTAGGTTAGGTTAGGATGCTTTTAATGATTCGAAATAAAAAATCGACTGAGGATTTATGAACACACGTAAAAAGATATAATTATTTATATCACCTCAAGACTCCAACTGTTTTTTAGATTATCAGGAAGCAACAAAAAATATCCACATTAAACAAATAGATACAAAAAAAAAAAAAAATAAGAAATACACGAATGACTCAAAAGGTCATTCGTCGAAAATGATTCTAGAAAATATTTAAACGTCTTAAGAACGGGAGGTGGGGTGAGGGAGCGTAGGATGGTAGGGGGTGTAGGATGGTGGCGTGCAGGAGAGGGTTAGTTGGAGGTGGGGTGAGGGAGCGTAGGATGGTAGGGGGTGTAGGATGTGGCGTGCAGGAGAGGGTTACTTGGAGGTTGGGTGAGGAGCAGGATGGTAGGGGGGTAGGATGGTGGCGTGCAGGAGAGGGTTACTTGGAGGTGGGTGAGGGAGCGTAGGATGGTAGGGGGTGGATGGTGGCGTGCAGGAGAGGGTTACTTGGAGGTGGGGTGAGGGAGCGAGGATGGTAGGGGGTGTAGGGATGGTGGCGTGCAGGAGGTTACTGGAGGTGGGGTGAGGAACGTAGGATGGTAGGGGGTGTAGGATGGTGGCGTGCAGGAGAGGGTGCTTGGAGGTGGGGTGAGGGAGCGTAGGATGGTAGGGGGGTGTAGGATGGTGGCGTGCAGAGGTTACTTGAATCAATCCTTGGTTAAGAAAGGATTCCTCTCAAGAAAGTCCTCCCGATCAGTGTGGACGAGGGAAGACTCTGGGTTTATCTCGTCGTTCCAACAACACGCCAACTAGTCGACGAGGAATGCAATTTGTGTGAGACGGACGGTAAGGATTGGAGGTTTGGTTGCCATTCTCAGCAAAACAGCCCAATCAAAACAAAGGCTACGTTGCCACTTCTCAGTAGAACAGCCCAATCAAAACAAAGGCTAGCTGCCATTTCTCAGTAGAGAGCCAATCAAAACAAAGCTCGTTGCCACTTCAGCAGAACAGCCAATCAAACAAAGGCTACGTTGCCACTTCTCAGAGCAGAGCCCAATCAAACAAAGGCTACGTTGCTACTTTCAGTAGAGCAGCCCAATCAAAACAAAGGCGTTGCCACTTCTCAGTAGAGCAGCCCAATCAAAACAAAGGCTACGTTTCCTGCAGAACAGCCCAATCAAAACAAAGGCTATTGCTGCTTACTTCAGCAGAACAGCCAATCAAACAGGTGCTGCACTTCTCAGAGAAGCCCAATCAAACAAAGCATGCTGCATTTCTCAGCAAAACAGCAATAAAAGGCTTTCTCAGTAGAACAGCCCAATCAAAACAAAGGCTACGTTGCCACTTCAGTAGAGCAGCCCAATCAAACAAAAGCTACGTTGCCACTTTCAGCAGAGCAAATCAAACAAAAGCTACGTGCCACTTCTCAGAAGAGCAGCCCACCAAACAAAAGCTACGTTGCCACTTCTCAGCAAACAGCCCAATCAAAACAAAGCTACGTTGCCACTTCTCAGTAGAGCAGCCCAATCAAAACAAAAGCTACGTTGCTACTTCAGCCTTACATAAGGTTATAACAAAGTCTTTAGGGAATGTAACGCCGCTATGTTGGGGGAAGAAAACTGAGAGAGAGAGAGAAAACACTACACATGGGAGAAAGTTTAAAAGTAGTTTGGGTTCACTGTTTTAAGGGTTCATATTAGGTGGGGTTCATGGTTGTTTGGGTTCACTGTTTTAAGGGTTCATATTAGGTGGGGTTCATGGTTGTTTGGGTTCACTGTTTTAAGGGTTCATATTAGGTGGGGTTCATGGTTGTTTGGGTTCATTGTTTTAAGGGTTCATATTAGGTGGGTCATGGTTGTTTGGGTTCACTGTTTTAAGGGTTCATATTAGGTGGGGTTCATGGTTGTTTGGTTCACTGTTTAAGGGTTCATTAGGTGGGGTTCATGGTTGTTTGGGTTCACTGTTTAAGGGTTCATATTAGGTGGGGTTCATGGTTGTTTGGGTTCACTGTTTTAAGGGTTCATATTAGTGTCTGGGTTGGTTGGGTTCACTGTTTTAAGGGTTCTTATTAGGTGGGGTTCATGGTTGTTTGGGTTCACTGTTTTAAGGGTTCATATTAGGTGGGGTTCATGGTTGTTTGGGTTCACTGTTTTAAGGTTCATATTAGGTGGGGTTCATGGTTGTTTGGGTTCACTGTTTTAAGGGTTCATATTGGGTGGGGTTCATGGTTGTTTGGGTTCACTGTTTTAAGGTTCATATTAGGTGGGGTTCATGGTTGTTTGGGTTCACTGTTTTAAGGGTTCATATTAGGTGGGGTTCATGGTTGTTTGGGTTCACTGTTTTAAGGGTTCATATTAGGTGGGGTTCATGGTTGTTTGGGTTCATTGTTTTAAGGGTTCATATTAGGTGGGGTTCATGGTTGTTTTTTGTTTTAGGTTTCATATTAGGTGGGGTTCATGGTTGTTTGGGTTCATTGTTTTAAGGGTTCATATTAGGTGGGTCATGGTTGTTTGGGTTCACTGTTTAAGGGTTCATATTAGGTGGGGTCTATGGTTGTTTGGGTTCACTGTTTTAAGGGTCTATATTAGGTGGGTCTATGGTTGTTTGGGTTCACTGTTTTAAGGGTTCATATTAGGTGGGGTTCATGGTTGTTTGGGTTCACTGTTTTGGGTTCATATTAGGTGGGTTCATGGTTGTTTGGGTTCATTGTTTTAAGGGTTCATATTAGGTGGGGTTCATGGTTGTTTGGGTTCATTGTTTTAAGGGTTCATTAGGTGGGGTTCATGGTTGTTTGGGTTCATTGTTTTAAGGTCATATTAGGTGGGTCATGGTTGTTTGGGTTCATTGTTTTAAGGGTTCATATTAGGTGGGGTCTATGGTTGTTTGGGT